ACTCAGGATCGCGCTGTTTCCCGACACGGGTGCTCCAGACCCGCCGCCATTTTCCCTCTAGACTGGTCATTATTAAAGAGACCAAGAATAACAAATGCTGGTGACAATGCAGGGAAAAAGGAGCTCTTCTACACTGTTGGTGGGACTGCAAATTAGCACAGCCACTATGGAAAACAGTATGGGGTTTTCTCAAACAACTAGAGGTAGAACTGCCATATGATCCAGCAATCCCACTGCTGGGGATATCCCCAAAAGAATGGAAATCATCATGTGAAAGAGATACCTGCACTCCCATATTCATTGCAGCTCTATTTAAAATAACCAAAATATGGAACCAACCTAAGTGTCCATCAGTGGATGACTGGATAAGGAAACAGTGGTATATATACACAATGGATACTACTCTGCCATAAAAAAGAATGAAATACTGCCATTTGCAGCAACATGGATGAGTCTAGAGAAAATTATCTTAAGTCAAATAAGTCAGACAAGGAAAGAGAAATACAGGAAGGAAGGAAGGAAGGAAGGAAGGAAGGAAGGAAGGAAAGAAAAAGAAAGAAAGAGACCACAACAATAGTTGAACTTTCAGAAGAGAACAAACCTAAGTATACTAGAGATGGAGGGGAGGGAGGGAGAGGGTTTGGGGAATGATTGGTCGAGTAAAGGGCATAAAGAAAAATCACAATTTATAATAATGAATGTGCCAATAATAAAAAAGAAAAAGAAAAATTTTAATTTTTATAAAGTTTAGTTTCTTTTTTCTTTTTTCTTTTTCTTTCTTTTTTTTTTTTTTTTTTTTTTTTTTTTTTTTTTTTTTTTTTTTTTTTTTTTTTTTTTGGAGTTAATGAGGAAGTAGTGTCCCATATGCCCTGGAAAGCTCATCCTATAAGCCCTTGGTCCTGTTGAGATGGTATCAAATATATTGCTATTCTCTAGAAGAAAGAAGCAACTCCAGGCAACTTCTTGAGTTCCTGTTATTAATTATATTTGTATACACATAGACACATATATGTATATACATAAATACACATGCACATTTATGTGTGTATATATATGATATTTAGAGAGAGACAGACAGACAGACACAGAAAGACAGAGAAGGGAGGGAAGGAGGCAGAGAATTCAGATAGAGACCTCAGTCCTCGGAGTTCAGGAGTGTCCCTACAGACGAGGCAGTCATAGCTAAAATAAACCACATCTTAAATTCCAGATAAATGCTTGCATCACTGGAATTCCTATAACACATGTCCACTGAAGGTGTTGTGGGTTTGAACATTAAAAAAATTAATGCAGTGGTTTTACTTTACCATCTAGTGAGAGACACTAGTCTCACATTTACAGCTGGACCACAATGACGCTTTCTGTTCTTCAGGAGACATTTGTTGCAAAGTCATTGGGCAACTGCCTCCTGAAAACACAGCTCAGCCAGGGGGATGGATCACCTTGCAAGGATCTGCAATGAGCTATTTTCAAGTGATGACAAAGTGTGAAGTGAACTGCTTATGAGAACTTTCTTTTTCATCCAAAGTAAATTCAAATGAGATTGAAAATCTGACCTTCTATTACTGGAGCTCTCCTGACTAAAAGTAAAATTGAATTTTAATTCCTAAATCTCCATGTGTATACAGTACTGTGGAAACATCGCAGATTTTGGCTCTGTGCCCCAAAGAGAAATTGGCTTTGGGATTACTTGGTTTAAAAACAAAGCCTTTCTTAAGAGATGTATTTAATTTTCATGATGTTTTCTTTTTTCCAAAGCGAATGTGTAGTTCTTTTATATTTCAGTTTTTCTTGATCGTGAAAACGCCACCAAAATTCTGAATCGGCCAAAGAGGTATAATTCAGGCAAACTGGAAGAGGTTATTCGAGGGAACCTTGAGAGAGAATGTATAGAAGAAAAGTGCAGTTTTGAAGAAGCTCGAGAAGTTTTTGAAAACACTGAAAAAACCGTGAGTATTTCTATATGATATTCTTCAAATGCAGAGCAAAAAATTGAAAACTTCAAAAGAAAAGAAATTTCTCTTTGGAATTTTGAACTCTCCATACACATATGTGTATTATAAATGCTATAAAGGAATTAACACCAAAACACTTTATATGGTACCATTAACTTGTCGTCTTTTTTTTTTTTTTTTATAGACTGAATTTTGGAAGCAGTATGTTGGTAAGCAATTCATTTTATCCTCTAGCTGGCATATAAAAATTTGAGAATGACATATTTTCTCTCTGTATAAATAGGTAAAATATTAAACTCTGTTAAAAAGACTCAGAAGAATCGGTTTGACTCTTTAACCCATGACTGAATGGGGCTATACTACAAGTTTATGCCAGTATAGGAGAGATATCAGCTGGCACATAAATGTACCCCTCCCTGGGGCTTCACAAAGAACATCATTCCACCCCAGGAGGCTGGAAGGAAGAAACTGAATTGATTGTATCTTGGGGCCTAATGAGAATTTGCAGTCTTCAGTAGAGAACCAGAGAATGCTGATTGACTTAAATGCTTAAATGTCTATTGCTTGAAAGTCTTCCTCGTTCTGATGGCCTACGTGGCCTTCCACAGTTTTCCTTCCGCACCCTTCCCTTTGCCCTTCTAACCTCCTCTACTGCTTTCCTCCTTGCACGCGGGTCTCCAGCGATCCTGTCCTTCGTGCTGCTCCCTGCACATTCGAGGAATGCCCCCACCTTAGAGGCTTTATCGGGCCATTTCTTTTACCTGGCTGTTCCCAGCTTCCCTTAGCCTTGCTCTTTCACTTCCTTCAGGTCTTTGCCCAAATGTCACCATCGCAATGAGGCCAACCTTGATTATCTATTAATACTTCAACCTGCCCCCATCCCGTAGCCTCACCACTCTAGACACTCGTATCCTGCTCCATGTTTTCCAATAGCACTTTGCACCATCGAACATATATCATTTTCTTACTTACACTATGGATCATTTATTAGTCCCATCCCACTAGAATGCAAGCTTCATGTTGGCAGGGATATTCCATTGTTTTGTTCATTGATATATTCGCAACACCTAGAACAAATTTGTCTGTAACAAATAGACTCTGTAAACATTTGTCCAATGAATTGACCAAAAGGAGAAAAAGTCCAAATTTAATGACAACGAATTTTAAAACTAATTCAAAATCCAGCAGTAGGATTGTTTTTTCCTGAGAAAAATAAAGTTTTTATTCTAATAACAATTATTTTTACATTAGTTTTATATTTGTTCATTACAGTTGTTAAGGATTTTTCTCAACAACCAGGTAATGTTAGCATCATACCTAACTCTGAATATTTAATTTAATTAATTAATTTATTTATTTATTTTTATTATGAACATCCGTGAGATACAAAGCTACCTGTCACCCCTCGTGCCCATGATGTGAGGGCCAGATTCATACTGGGGGCATATCCATTACCAGAAATTGTTTTTGTACCCCATGTCCCCACTCAATTATCCCCCAATCTCCCTCCCCCTCCCCCTCTCCCTGCCACTCCGCTTCGTAGCCTTAGGAATGTTCCCTCCGTCTGTAAGACCACCGCCTACTGTGGTCTTTCTTTCCTTCCTTCCTCCAGCAGTAGGATTTTGAGGGAGGGTAAGTTTCACAGGTTGACTTACCACAGGCCATTTGCATGGATAGAAACAATTAACCTGGACACCAAATTCACTGAGTTCCATCAATATGAGATCCAATTCTGTTTTTTACAGTTCCTCATCTGGAGACACTACAGGACATTCACATGCCCTCGTAACTCATAATTCCTCCACTTTTATTATAAGTCGTGAGAGGAAAACGAGGTTCACTCTGTTATATTGCTTTATCTACCTTTCCTTGTTCTTAGTGATAAATGCTACCATTTCTACTGAGATAGCCCCCTAAAGTTACTTCAAACAAGTCTTCTTACTCTCTATTCCCACGGAATTTAAAGCTTTGAATCTTATAGTTTATTTCTTAAAGGAAATTGATGTCTACTTTAAAAAAAAAAATTCTGGCTCTATTTAAACCCCATGATCCCCTCATTGCTCACCCCCACACACCCCACCCCCACCCCAGGAACATATTTTGAAGTTGGACCCCTGCCTTCTAGGTCACATAGGTGCATTGTTTGTCATACTTCAGGTATAGATACCTGGGGAACTTAAAGGACATGATTCAGTCACTACTGCTTTGTCTACCAGAAAATAAAACAACAAAAACAAAAGCAAGAACAAAAAACAAACAAACTCCTTGCCTTTTTTCACTTGCAATGAAGATTCCTAACCAACACATATAACAAGGACCCAGGCTCCTCACTGATGTACCATTCTGTGCCATCATCTCACCCCATTAAGAGCCTGGTTGAAGAATGGTCCGTAGACTACAATAACTAGCATCTGTCAAGCAGTATACAGTTTACAGAATGACTGTCACATTTAACCCTCACACCATTCTTGTGAGCAAGGCATTATTAACTCCATTTGGAAGAAGAGGAAACTGAGACTTAGGGAGGTTAAGGGACTTGCCAAAGGACACCCAGGTGGGGAGTCATGAATCCTAGAAGAGAACCCAAGTTCGCTACTGCCCAACCCCTTGCTTTCACTGTTACACCTCATGGCCTCCAAATTTAAATGCAGTTATTCATTAAACAGGAACCTAGTAGTCTTAAGCAGGAATTTCTCACTTGGCAACGTCTTGTCTCTTGTTGTCTTTGACCCCTACTGTCTATGGCTTTGCCTCAGCACAAAGTACACCCAGATAAGAACCCAAAGGAGGACTAAATGCAAGATAAAATGACACTAATTTTAAAGATGTGTTTCAGCAAATGAGTTCCTCTGTAGCTGGCGGGAAGCCCAGACCCTTTCAGCGAAACATCCTAAATAATTCACATTTGTTGGTCTATAACATAAAGTGCAAATGTAGCTTGTTTTTTAGACCAGTTCTGAACATCAATAATAATAAACTAGAGATAAAGTATTTTGTTTTCAAAGAATTGGAACAAATTGAAGTATCTGTGCAAAAGCACATTGGATCAAGGGGCAGAGGGGACAAGGTCTAATTTTTACAGCAAGCAGATTTTCCAGAGAGGGACTATTTCTGAGAAAGGAATATTAGTCCCTTAGTCAATGGAACCTGGATAGATGCTTCTGACAGAGAGAAAAGAGAACGGGCAGGAATCTACACACTAGATGCAAGTGAATTTTGCCATAAAGTATGGTCTATCATGAGAAACTTGTCTTCGACTTCCCCCTTTTCTCTCATTCTTTGATTCTTAGTGTCATCTTCATCTCTTACTCTTTTCTTTCTCATCTATTGAGTCCTACTGATCTAGCTCTCATTTTTTCTTCAGAGATATTTTTCTTAGCTTGGAGTGCTTGCCAGTCTCCCTTGTAGTTCTGTCCATCCCTCTCTCCTGAAGCTTCCTTAGAAGGCCAGAATGAGGAAGAGTGCTAAGAAACCAGGCTTAAAGGTTTCTTTCTCATCCTGACCCTTCCCTTCCCCTCTCGCTTGTTCCTTCCTTCTGTTTTTATACCAGGAGTGTCTTCAAAGGCTTTCAAGAACTCTGCAGATGTAGAAACTTCAGGAAAGGTAGAATGGAAACATAGCCAATCTATACATAAACAAAGCACATTGCAGAATCTTTTCAAATTCTTTACGATCTACCAAATGTTATTTCTCACTTTACCTTGACCATTTGGAACCCAACTCATCAATATAAGAATATCTTTAGCAGTAACAGATGCTTCTGGCATCTTTTCTATTGTCTTGAACCATTACTGCACATGATACTTACAAGTTAAATGACAGTACAAGGAAGTAGATGCATTTGCTTCATGCCTAGGCTGCCAGTTCCTTGAGCAGAAGGACCACATATTATCTAGCTCAGCTTGCTCTGCAAAACTTGTGATAGAGCAGGCCTTGCATGACACATAGATTATATTTCTTGAAGTAATTTGATTTGATTTGGAATTAACTTTGCCATCATTCTTAAGGAAGGAGTGAAAATCCTTCTCACTCTATGCTAATATAGTACATTTCTAAACAAAGATGTTCTTTTCCCTCTCCCCTTGAGCTGCATAAACTATGTACACGCCTTCCTCGGGGCAATTTCCTAGGACAGTGTTAGCCTAAGAACCTTTGCTTGGGTGGCTTTCAGAAACTCAGGAGGACAGGAACATCATATACCTAAAAGCAGGTGGCTTCCAGGTCAGTAGTTCTGCTCTGACCCTAAAATCCGACTCCCATCCACAAGAGTCTACACAGGGGAGGACTGGGCATTTAAAGCAGGTTATCTGCTAATTCAGTTTCTTAACCTATCTCAAAGATGGAGATCAGTGTGAGTCCAATCCATGTTTAAATGGCGGCAGTTGTAAAGATGACATTAATTCCTATGAATGCTGGTGTCGATATGGATTTGAAGGAAAGAACTGTGAATTAGGTAAGTATTTTTTGATTACGCATGGCTCAAAGTTTCCCTTTGAAACCAGATGAAACTGAAAAATGCAATATTTATGTATCATAATTTCCTTTTAAAAACATATACTTTCAAAGCTTATAAATATTCATCTGTAGTCACAGTTTTCAGGACATGAGTTCAAGAAACTATATTAAGAGCAATAACAATATTTGGTAGCTAATGTTAAGTGGTAATGATGTTCTATTTACTGAACTTATTAATCCTTAATACAACCATATGTGGTCGGTATCATTACAACCCCCATTCTTTGCAGATAGGAAAACTGCAGCTTCAAAAGCTCAAAATTACAGAAGCATAAAAGGTTTAGCCAGGACTCGAACTTCAGTTTGACCAAAACACATGCTTCTAACTACTACACTCAAAATTCAGAGAAAATTGAACCCATAAAATTGTTTGAACTCATGACTAAATTGCTAACAACATAGACAAGGGAAGTCAATTAAGTATAGAACAGGCCAATTATCCCATATAATAGGAACTTCTCCATGCATGCAAACCATTTCACATGCTAAATTTGTTGACAAAAATTAGAGCTCATTCCTGAATTTGACTATATTGATTACATCAAAAGAGTTACATAGCAAACTAGGATCATTGTAAACCTTTTCTTCTCATAGCCTGGAATATATTTTTGCTGACGTGCTGGTAACTGGATCAGTAAATCCCAAAGTCCTTTACCTACTTGTTTATTACTTCTGGATACAATATTACCAGTAACGTGATTGTGAAAAGCACACAGTGCTAATGAGGGATTCTCTTTCTACTCTGAAACTCCAGAAAAACAAAGATTCAATCCCAAGGAAAGAATTTGACACCACAGCCTACATGACTAAGGACAAAGAGTAGAAAATTATCAGGACTCTATGACAGCATTATAGCAATCTGCCTGACAGATGAAAAAGGCATAAAATGAAATAAAATGTAGTAGGTGCACTTGTCCTATTGAGAAAGGGGGGAAAAAGTCACCTGTAATGTTGTTCAGAAATCCTTTCAGCACTAAAGAGAAATTCATTGATCATCTTCCTTTGAGATCTGAAAGATCTTAGAAGCTGAGAAAAGGAAAAGGTTACAGGGCAAAAAACATTTAAAAAGAAAGAAAAAAATGAATGCAGGTGGATGAGCTAGTACACCTGGCTTGGACTGCCATTTCCTTAGGTTTCCCAGTGTGGGGACAAACCAATGCCTGGGTTACCTTTCCTGCAGCTGTGTCAATTGGTTTAACATCTCTGAAGTGCTACTTTCATCCAAAAGATTGTAATTTCAAATTCAGATTTACCTAGATAAATTTGATTCTGCTGTTATGAAAATCTACAGAAATCTTTGGAGTAGCTACTCATTGTTGGCTTAAATAATATAACTGTTGGAACCGAGGGGATAAATAACTCCATTAGTCTCAGTTACGACTGAAGAGCACAATGTAGTGAACTGTAATTGAAAATATGAATGTCTTTATCTAGTTTAAAAATAAAGACACTTTAAAAGGATGAGAATAGCACTGAGGGGTGTAAACATAAGCACAAAACTTCTGTAACAGGGTTTGCTACATGTGTGAGGTTATGGTCCACACATCAAAAATGCTGAGTGTACATCTCGATACTCTTGGGTTCCCACATTGTGGTTTGCTTGGGGCTCTGCAGTTGTACTGCTGCCACCACCACAGCTGGCCACTGGGGTTTATTGATCTCACCCAGCCAATTTGATCAAGGTTTAGAAAAATCTTTTCAGCTCAGTTCAGAAACAAAAATGGGAATTCTCTCACAAAGCCCTTTATCTCAGACACTAGAGGAAAGCAATAGCAAAAGAATATACAAATTCCCATTTAAGCTTGTTGTTTCAAACTGAACTAAAGACTAATCTCAAAAGCTACTGGATAGCACAGTTTATGGAGTATCTGGGCCCCGAGAGTCTTGCCTTACACTGTCTTGGAAAAAAGGAGGAGATTTCCATTCTTAAGACCTTTTGTTTTCTTTTTTCCTTGTTCGTCAGGCTCTTTGCTGGGGGAGAGGTGTGCAAACATTCAGGGTATGCTTTCTAGTTAGAATAACAATTAATTGGCTATTGGGTCCCTTTGGCTACAATAAAGACCTCTGTATGTCACCAGCTGCATATCAAATTCGAATCTCTTTCAGATATATCAAGGTCTGTAAGAATTCGGTCACTCTTGTCCTCTCTAAAGAGTCCAAGAGGCATTTTTCAACACTAAGGTAGGATAGAAAGAAAAAAATCACAAGTGCATAAACACTCTTTTATTTTTCTCTTTTTTCCAGAACATCACAGACACTACTGTTTTATTTACTGTGTATTTCTGTGGAGGGGGGAAAAAAAAAGAAATATGTTGAGTTTAGTTGAATAACAGCATATTTTGTAGTAAGCATTCAATAGAACATCTTTTGTCTAGTCTTCGGTTATCACATCAATTGATATATCGGGGAAGATGAAGACAGTAAAGTAAAGCAGAACATAACTTTTGTAGTAGGCATGAAGGAAATTAGAAATAGTGTTTGTGCTAACATGGAGAAGAAGAACAGATGCTTTGAGATGTTCCTCAAAAGATATTTTGTGAGACCAGCGTCAGGACCAGGAAGAACCCATAGCCAACATACTGCTTGGCATCTAAGAACTTAATAATTGATGAATAAGTCCCATTCTGATTGTTCCTTAGGTGCTATTCTAGGGACTTCTCCCCTGGAATTCTTTGCATTGTCATTCCATGTGTAGAATCTTGAGCCTTTTACCCAAGGGCAAAAGATTGCTGATTAGGCAGCAATATTTCCCACCACATGCACAGACCCAGCCAGAGACCAACAGCAGCAGTAACATACTAGGAAATAAAGGGCAATGACAAATGAGGAAAATGATACAAGAGTCTGGTTATTTAGCCAAGGACACAGAATCAGAATTGGGAAAACCACACTGAGTTTACTCTTTCCCATTGTGTCTGCTCTGGACAAAACCAGGCTACACCTACCACCTACCACTGTTAATTTATCACAATCTCATATTGAGTGAACACTTTCTATAGGTGGTACCTGATTTGGCTGAACACTTTAGTATCACTTTGTAGCAACAAAATGATAGCTAGCAACATGAAAAGAACCAGGGACGTTATCATTATTAGTGAGGAGAAAGGTCCTAAAAATAATAGTAAAAGACCAAATCCCAAATAGTTGGATCATGCACTTAGTAAATTATTGGTATCAAAAGTTAAAGCTCAGGCTGGTTCCTTTGTCCATCTGGCAACAGTTGATTTGACTCCCTGTATTTCCTGAAGTATCAGTAAGAACTATGAGCTAATTATTACATTAGTTTATGCTAGCATACGTAAAATAGAGTGTAAGAGTTTAGATTTGTCACTTAAAAATTCATGATATATACTTCAAAATCATATAGTCACTGGGATAGCCTGCATTCCCCCAGAAAAAAGAGCCTGTGACACAAGCTTATTTACTAAGGTGTGCAGTGCTAGGGGGCAAGAATAAGGGACAGGAGAGTGAGGCAGCAAGGAAAGGAGAACCAATAAGAGGATGAGCTGTCAAACTGCTTGCCTATAACTGCAACTGATTGCTTCATCTCCTGGGACTGTCTCCAAAAAGCCATATAAACTGGCCACATGATAGTCCACTTGAGAAGAAAGAAGAGGTGAAAGAATTTGTCCACCAGCATCTGTCTCCCATTGGTCAAAATTTCAGCCTATGCAGCCTTAACTCCTCCACATTTCCAAGTTAGGCATGCTTGGGCACCCAGAGAGTCATACGGCATCCCATGCCTCAACATCAACAAGGAAGCCCCAAGGCAAGAGGCAAAAGTCACATAGTATAGCTATGAGCCAAGGCAATTCAGGGCTACACGCATATGAGATCAGTTGAAGTCCAAGCAGAGCTGATCACCACAAAGCTGGAAAAAGACACAAGTGAGTCTGAGAGGAACTAAGGTGGCATATAGGAAGTATGTAATACGGTCACTCATTTTCAAACATTCAATGTTATAATTACACTGAGAACTGAGCATTTCTGTTGAAAGCTGTACTGTTGTTGAGCATGTAGGTAAGGCAAAAGGTGTCTTATATTCACAGTGTTCCTGTACTGCTCTAGAGACAAAAACAGTCCCAAGGGCAGAGCCTGTTTTTTTTTTTAACTCAGCAGATGTCAGCTAGATTCTATTATAGACTTACATTAATTAAGACAGTATGGTATTGACTCAAGAATACACAAATAAATCAATGGAACACAATGAAGAGTCCAGAAACATACCTGCACATAAATGGAGGCTTGACTGATGGCAGAGGTGCTACCACAGTGAAGTAAGGAATGGTTGGTGTTTTCAATAAATAGTGATGGGTCAATTAGATATCCATATGGGGAAAAACGCATCTGGATCCCTACCTCATACCATATACCATAGTCAATTCCAAGTGTACTAAAGATCTTAACAAGAAATATAAATCAATAAAGTTTGATAATTATGACCCTGGGGTAAGCAAAAATTGCTTAAACAGAATACAAAAAGTACTCTGTTTTGACTGATAAATTGAACTATATTAAAACTAAGAACTTCTGTTCAGCAAAAGACACTATTTAGAGTGAAAAGGCAAGTCACAGAGTGAAGGAAGATATCTGTAATATGTATATCTAATAGTTGGAACTCTCATACACTGATGGTGGGAATTTAAATTTGTTCAATCATTTTAAAAAACTGCTTGGCAGTATCTACTAGACCTGAACATATGATCCAATAATTCCGCTCATTAGTATAAATCTGCTAAAAATGCATGCTATGTTACCAAAAGATATGTACAAGAATGTTTAGTACAGCATTATAAATAAGAACCCAAAACTGCAAACACTCCAAATATCAATCAACAGTAGAATGGATGAATAAAAGTTGTAATATTAATACAATAGAATACTACACAGCAATGTAAGTGAGCTATTGTTATGGATAATCTCACAGACAAAACGTTAGATGGAAGACACAGAAGAGTTCATATTGTGAGCTTCTATTTATATGAAGTTCATGTACTAGCAAAACTGTTCACTGTGTTAAAAGCCTGGGTAATTTGAAAAGGAGGAAGGATGGAGTGATTGGGAGAAGGCATTAGGAGAGCTTCTGGGCTGTTGATAATGTCCTATGTGTTGATCCGTTTAGTGTTTAAACAGGTGCACTTACTTTGTGAAAACTTGTATTAAAGTACTGTACTTTTCTGAATATATGTTATACTCCAACAAACAGGTGTTTTTAATTGCAGCTAATGATTTAGCAAAAGTAGAATATCTTAACACTTAATTTCATGCCAAATCAAATATATTGCTACCACCATTTTTTTTTACCTTAATGAGAATTTTATTTGACCTCTCTTTCTATTCTTAGCTCAAGCTCCCAAGTTTCTTACCATGAATGCACCCAGCTTATATTTGACCCATATATGAGTCAGTAGTTTTTAGAAATGCGTGTTAAATGATGCTATTACTGTTGATTTTGCTTTCTTTCAGATTCAACGTGTAGCATTAAGAATGGCGGATGCAAGCAGTTTTGTAAAAACACTGCTGATAGCAAGGTGGTTTGCTCCTGTACTGAGGGATTCCAACTTGCAGAAGACCAAAAGTCCTGTGAACCAATAGGTCAGAATCTAAATAAGTTTTTTTAAAAGAAAATCTATATTTGAACCTTCATTTTAACTAGCCTACATAATTTTAATCCCTATTTGTATCTACTTCCTTTTGAAATCATAGAAAAGCTTGAATTAGACAGATTAATTTTCCAAATTGCACCATCATTTTAAATATAAATTCTGTAATTATGTACAGCCTGAATTCTTTTCTGTGTCCAACCTTTTTCTCTGACTTTTATGTCACAAAGAAAGCGATTTGCGTAATTTCTATATATATATATTTGTAATTCATCAAGTCAAATTAATGTGATAATACTGTACCAAAAAAAGAACACAAAAGGTTGACTGAATGATAAGCTTCCAGTACAAAGATGGTGAATTTTAAGCATGATTCTGTCAGGGCCTGGCTAGTTTACTCTGAGAAAGTTATTTCCTATACTTGGGTCTCAAGCTGAGTTTAAACAGTTCGTGTCAGAATGATTCCAGCCACTAGCTGTATTAAGTTCTGCTAGGAACTTAATACAGCACAATCTATACAGCAGTGGACAAAGCAACGTTCCCAGTCATGTCAACCACACCACCATGTTGACAGCTGATTGGTGTATTCAGGACATCTCCACTCCATACTTACATGCTCTTCTCTGAAGACGAAAGCAATAGAAACTTTTGATTAAAAAAGTAGGCTCTGCAGGATCAATTATATTGGATAAATGGGGGCCTTTTTGAAGCAAACTCAGTATATTTCTTTTGCATTTCCAAAGTCTGATATTTTATTAAATTGGTACATTAGATTGTGCACCTTTCCTCTATAATTGGATTCGATACCTATCTGAGCAATGCACCAGGCAGAGGAAATTAAAGAAAAAAACCAGGAGCATATATGCTGCAATTAAAATGAAGAGTCTCTAATGCATCAAGGACTGCTTGCCTGTCCTTCTGCCTGGTTTTTCACATAAGCTGCCTCAAAGCTAGCCTACCTCGGGAGGAGCATGTGTATGTGAGTACGTGTATGTTAACTTTAAAAACCTAACATCCGGTGCAGATAGGTGGCACAGTAGCTAAACCCTTACGAGCCCTGCTAACTTATAAAAGAGAAAAAGAATTGAGAACCATCTCTAACTATTAAGTGTTATATTTCAATGTAGCCTTAGCTGTAGCAGAATAAGTAGGCCAAACGTAAAGTAAGCTTTTCTGCCTTCTCAATGATAATGGTCCCTTTTCTCTAGCCATTGTTGATCATGTATATTTATACATAAGTATTTTGAACTTATTTCCTGTTTTTTCAACCACATGCTGTCTTCACGGTACTTTGTCGCAGCTGGTTGCTATAGAAATGTCTGTTATAAGGAATGTGGCTAGAAGGAAAGTGAGAAAAGAAAATGAAGTATGGGGTGACTTTGTTTGACTACAAATTTCCATTTGACTCCCTCCCACTCGGTCCCCGCGTCCTTGGCTGGCGTCAGAAAAATGGTTACAAACTTCCTAGTACACGAGAAGATCTGGTTCGACAAGTTCAAATATGATGATGCAGAAAGGAAATTCTATGAGCAGGTGAACGGGCCTGTGTCTGGCTCCTCCATGCAGGAGAATGGCGCCAGCATGATGCTCCGAGACATGACAGGAGCCAGAGAGAACATTCAGAAATCTCTGGCTGGAAGCTTGTTGTCAGGATCACCAGCCTGGAAGTGGAGAACCAGAACCTGCGAGGCATGGTGCAGGACCTGCAGCAGGCCATCTCCAAGCTGGAGGCCTGGCTGAGCCTGCTGGAGAAGAGCTCGCCCACCCACCGGGCCACAGCCCCACAGACCCAGCACGTGTCTCCCATGTGCCAAGTGGAGCTATGCCAGCAGAGGACGATGAGGACAATGACATCAACCTGTTTGGCCGTGATGAGGAGGAGGAGAATAAGGAGGTGGCGGGGCTGCGGGAGGAGAGGCAGTGGCAGTAGGCAGAGAAGAAAGCCAGGAAGCCTGTGCTGGTGGCCAAGTCCACCATCCTCCTGGACGTCAAGCCCCAGGATGATGAAACAGATATGGCCCAGCTGGAGGCCTGTGTGCACTCCATCCAGCTGGATGGGCTAGTCTGGGGTGCCTTCAAGATGGTGCCCGTGGGCTATGGCATCCGAAAGCTGCAGATCCAGTGTGTGGTAGAGGACGACAAGGTGGGGACTGACTTGCTGGAAGAGGAGATCACCAAGTTTGAGGAGCACGTGCAGAGTGTGGACATGGCTGCTTTCAACAAGATCTGAAGCCCGAGCATGAGTGTGTGCGTGAGGCCCTATGGTGATTAAAGACTGAGACTCTGGAAAAAAACAAAAACAAAAAAATCAATTTCCATTTGCGTGGTCCCCAATGTATTAGTAGATGATTTCTCTTTTTAGGAAATCAAACCAACCCAAGGGGGAAAAAAAATGGCCAGGTCCAGGGTGAATATGGCTGTGATAATCATACTAGTGATTTATTTGGTTAATATTTGACAGCCAGGTAATTGAATCACAATGATCTCTCCCCAGCAAATACCTAAAACCCATGTTGAAATCTACAAGGTATTCTAGTCTTCAAAAGAAACCCTGTAAATGATAAGCAGCAGAAATCCTATTTACCTAATTCTAAACTTGAAGTTACATGGCAAAATCATCAGAATTCCATCCAGGCACGGCACTTGGGAGTAAGACGTTTTAGTAAAGAAACTAAACAGAAAGTCATTAGACTCTATAAAAATTTTACCAAACTTGATTCCGGAATACCTATTTTTGTAAAGATGATGAATTCCTGAGCCAAATGTTCTTTTCATGATGGGCTTGAAAACTTTCAACAAAAATAATGCAATCAACCATTTAGTTTGACATTCATTCATTAGATTTAAAATAAAAAAAATTGTTGGGCCTGATTCTAGGAAGTGACAAGGATGATGAGTCTTGTTGTCAATTTTTGAAATACATGTTCTGTTTGCCAATGAGATATATCAGACTACTATTTTTTTTCTATTTTTCTAGTGCCATTTCCATGTGGAAGAGTTTCTGTTTCATCCAATTCTGAGACGTTCACCCGTGCTGAGACTATTTTTTCCAATATAGACAATGAAAATTCTACTGAAGATGAAACCATTTTGGATAACGTCACTCAAAGCACCCAGTCATTTAAAGACTTCACTAGGATTGTTGGTGGAGAAAACGCCAAACCAGGTCAATTCCCTTGGCAGGTACTCTATACTGATGGTGTGTCGAAACTGGAACTCAGCTTGCAAGGGACAAGCCAGGTGGGAGACTGAGGCTAGGACACTAAACAGACCTATTGGGATCAGAGAAGTATTTAGGCAAGTTTCAGCATGAAGCAATATGAGAAACCTCCCATGTGTGAGCAGTTGGTGAAACACAAGTCCAGGCACAGCTACCATATGGGGTCAAGAAGAATTTGGCATCAAGAAAATAGCATAGCAGGATTCCAGACAAGCAACTGATCAATCGGGAAGTCCAGGAAAGAGGTCACTGGTACTTCCACTTCAGCCCCTGGCAAAACTGATGAGAGTCAGAAAGTCTCTAGGCCCAGAGAAACTGGATTATTTCAAAGGGAGTCAAGAAAAGAACTCGAGTAGGAAGGGTTAAGGCAAGAACTAGGCTCCTGGAAGCAGGATATGAGATAGGGGCTTGGTCCACAGCTGTGTTTCTCAAAGTGTAGTAGCATCACAATCATCTGGGAACTTGTTAGAACACAAATTTTATGCTTCCACCCCAGACCTACTGAATCAGAATCTCTGGGGGTGGAGCTCCACAATCCATGTGCAAACAAACCTACCAGGTGATTCTGATACACACTACAGTTTCAAAACCATTGGTCCAGAGGAAACAAACTTGTTACAGAAGCCAGGGTCCAAAATACCTAATGACAGACTCATGGTACCTAGTTTTCCAAGTGTGGTTTGCAGACCACCCACATGTGCGGAATTACCTGTGCACATTTTTGATACAACATCCAAGAGCTAGATTTGTAGCAAAATGTGGGTTGTAAGTAAGTGTACAGCTAAAGCCTAAGTGATTCCATCTATGAGAAGGAATAGGAGCCCCTACCTGCACCCCAGCCAAGGAGCCAGGCTGGTCCTTATCTAAAGTTGTGCTGTGCAATAAGGTAACCAGTAGCCACATGTGTCTACTTAAATTTAAAATTTAACTACGATTAAATAAAATTTAAAATTCAATTCTTCAATCACAGCTGCCACAGTTCAAGTGCATAATAGCTACATGTAGCCATGGCTACTGTATTGGGCAACACTGGTATAGATAGAACATTTCTATCACTGTAGAAATTTCTATTGGACAGCACTTATAATAGTTTAGTCTAACTTAAAACTTCCTAGTGGCCACAATCATGATTTGGTAGTGATTTCAAGGATGTTTCACTCCAAAGTGTTTTCTATACTGAGGTTGGACCTTCTGCCATCAGAAACTATTAGCCTTAAAGACTTTGCAATCATCAAGCAGGTAACAATTTAAGCCAGGATCAGGTAAATTTCCCCAAGTTTAACACCACTGGAATTTTCTGAAACTATGTATCTAGCCAGGATTACTTCAGAATGCCTGCCATTTTCCAATATAATGACTATAACATATTGAACATATACCTGGGGATGGGAGGGTGGGGTGGAATTTGCACAGACATTGTGGAAAATGGTATGGCATTCTGTCATCAAAGGGTGACAGAACATCACAACCAAGATTCTGTATCTTCCTTTCTTTTATCTTTGTTTTTTTAAAAAACAATATTTGGTGGACCTGATCTTATAGACAATAAAATACACTCTATGTCCCTTAACACACCCTCTGTCCCTACTTAAGTGCACCCTACCAGGGCTGCTTCGCTCACCCACCATTAACCCTTCCCTTCTCTCATCCACATCTTTACCCTTAACGACTCTTTGTAAGACTGGTCTTCTTCATTGACCTTTCTTTGAACAATCCCTTTTGAGTGCAACCACTCTAATTATACTTTCATTCTATTTAATATTCACGTACCTAATTCTTTCTACCTAATTATGTTTTTTTTGTGTTCTCATACATTTTCATTCCTTATGTATCCAACTTCCATGGATAAGGTGGTTACAACAAAAGATCTTACTTTATGGCAATTATCTTTCTTAAGTTTGTGGGACATAGAGCAGTGCTTAGAATGGAGGATCCAGAAACCCAGGAATGTACAAGGGTACTTCAAAAAGTTTGTGGGAAAATAGAATTAAAAGATAACATGAGGGGGCCGGCCCGGTGGCGCACTGCTACAGTGCGCCGCTTCGGAGCGCGGCGGCGCTCCCGCCGAGGGTTCGGATCCCACATACAGACCGGCCGCTCACTGGCTGAGTGAGATGCGGGTGCAACACCGAGGGTTGCAATCCCGTTGCCGGTCCCGGTCCGGTACGGGCGCGACACTGAGGGTTGCGATCCGTTGCCGGACACGAAAAAAAGACAAAAAAATAATAATAATAAATAACATGAATCTTTCCATGAACTTGTTGAAGTACCCTCAAATTATTAACTAAGAAGATGACTTCCTTTAAAAAAAAAGAAACACACCAGGATTTTTTTTTAAATCCCAGGATGCATGCACTGTGGGCTTAACATTGTCCTTTTGTCACCCCAGAAATGAAATGGCGAATACTCTTAAGTGAGAGCTAAAAAAAGAGGTCTAAAGTTTCAATTTAGTCACATAATCTCTGCTTCCCACCCACGCCCTGTAAATCAGATGCTTTCCAATGTTTTAATAATGCAGATCTTTCCTTTAAAAATATAGTAACTCTAGAAGACATTTCATTTTCTTTGCAAGCAGAGGAGAGGACAGTTGTAGCTGTTCTGTGAGGAAGAAGATATAAATGGTACACATCATTTGAAATCTTTTTGTGTCCGTCTCCCTGCACAGTAACCATTATTGTACCTGTTCTCTTTTTCCTGCCTAGCCGAGATCATTTGGAGTGTTCAAGAACACTCATACACACGTGTGCACACATGCACAAGCACACACGCTTTCACTCCCTCTTTCATCCATACAAACTGAGATTACTGACTTGAAGACATACAAAGCTCTAGGTTTTATTCTTTTCCAAAGGTAAAAAATTTCCAAAATTAGAGGAATCTCCCTACCTTCTAGGATACTTGAGAAAGACACTGTCATACTTCTGCATTGTTTCCTTCCTCACCAGAGGTCTCTCCACACCCACCTCCACCCGGTTCCTCAGGAAAGGTTACTGGTTTTCAAAAAAATATGAGCTAAATTGAGTGTGCAAAGTTCACTTTTAGACAAAGATGGAACAGCAAATGAAACAAACCAGAATCTCTCCTGAGTTGTGAATGGGCCAGCTCTCCACATCATGGTTAACCTGTAGGGTGAAGACGCTAGATTTAATCGCAGACAAGACTGTGACAAACTTGCCAAGGTATAAAAAGAAAGCAAGCAACACCTGGGGTTTCAGTGGCCAAAACATTAAATTTCTGGCTCTGAAATATGAAATGCTGTTTACCAATGTCACCTAGAAAAGAGTGTTTTAAAATGCTAATGCTTCATAAAAGCCTTTCTATTCAGATTTTTTGTTCTTATTGTTTTTTTCCTCCTTCTAGTTGACTTTTTTAATTGATTATGCATATTCATGAGGTACAAAGCTGGCCTTCCCCACTTGTGCCCAAGATGTGATGGCCAGATCAATACTATCAGCATGCCCATTACCACAAATTGTAATTATTCCCCATGTCCCCCACCCAATTAATCCCCCTCCCTCCCTGCCCCAACCCACTCTGCAACCCTAGGTGTGCTCTCTCCCTCTGCAAGTCCAATGCACCACCGTGGTCTTTCTTTCCTTCCTTCTTTCTCTCTTAGCTCCCACTTATGAATGAAGACATGTGGTACTTTTCCTTCTGTGCCTGGCTTATTTCACTTAACATAATTTTCTACAAGTTCATCCATGCTGCTGCAAATGGCAGAATTTCATTCTTTTTTATGACAGAGTAGCATTCCGTGGTGCATATATATCACATCTTCCTTATCCAGTTGTCCGTTGGTGGACATTTAGGTTGGTTCCATGTCTTGGCTATTGTAAACAGAGCTGCGATGAGCATGAGAGTGCAGGTGTCCCCTCAACATGATGATTTCCATTCCTTTGGGTATGTACCCAGAAGTGGGATTGCTAGATCACATGGTAGTTCTATTTGTAGGTATTTTAGAAACCTCCATACTGTTTTCCATAGTGGTTGTACTAATTTACAGTCCCACCAAGAGTGCAGGAGTGTTCCCTTCTCTCCACATCCTTGCCAGCGTGTATTATTCTCCATCTTTTTGATTATAGCCAGTCTGACTGGGGTGAGGTGATATCTCATTGTGGTTTTAATTTGCATTTCCCTGATGACTAGTGACATTGAGCCTTTTTTTAAGTGCCTGTTGGCCATTTGTATGTCTTTCTTCAAAAAATGTCTATTCGGGGCCGGCCCGGTGGCACACTGCTACAGTGCGCCGCTTAGGAGCGCAGTGGCGCTCCCGCCGAGGGTTCGGATCCCACATACAGACCGGTTCCCGCTCACTGGCTGAGCAAGGTGCAGGAGCAACACCGAGGGTTACGATCCCGTTGCCGGTCCCGGTCCGGTACGGGCGCGACACTGAGGGTTGCAATCCGTTGCCGGACATGAAAAAAGACAAAAAGGAAAAAACAAAACAAAACAAAAAAATGTCTATTCGGTTCCTTTGCCCATTTTTAATTGGGTTATTTGATTTTTTACTGTGTAGTTGCTTGAGTTCCTTGTATATTGTGGATATTAATCCCTTGTTGGATGTATAGTTTGCATATATTTTCTCCCACTTTGTATGTTGTCATTTCAGTCTGTTGATTGTTTCTTCTGCTGTGTAGAAGCTTTTTAGCATGATATAGTCCCATTTGCTTATTTTTTCTTTTGTTGCCTGTGCTTTTGGGGTCTTGTTCATGAAGTCTTTGCTCAGTCCTAATTCCTGAAGTGTTTCCCTGTATTTTTCCTTAGGAGTTTGATGGTTTCAGATCTTATACTAAGTCTTCAAATCCATTTTGAGTTGATTCTGGTATATGGTGAGAGGTACAGGTCTAGTTTCATTCTTCTGCCTATGGATATCTAATTTTCCCAGCAACATTTATTGAAGAGGCAGTCTTTTTCCCAATGTATTTGACAATGCCTTTGTTAAATATCAGTTGGCTGTAAGTCT